CTTTTTCATAGAAAAAACATGATGAATTTTTATGAAACGTTCTTTACAATAAGCTATCCTATAAGTGAGTCTGGTTATATACCTATACCACAATAGTTCTTTGTGTCTTGAAACTGTCATTGTCATTCTCACAAGATAAAAACTTGTTGCTGTTTTCTAGATCAATCTCGTCAAAAGTTCATTATATTTTGATATATGATCAATAATATTGCATTTGTATTCACATTTGATGCCAACCAAAGATTTTATAAGAACATGTTACCAATATTTACATCTCATATCCCAAATGTCATCGAGCACTCTCCACATATTGGGAGGCATCCGAATAACAAGTTATTTGGCTAACTATCTCCGAATCAATGTAGAAGAGTGTTAAAGGTTTGGCCAAAGAGTGTCTATATCTCCAGCTTTCATATTTTCTTGCACTAGAACGTGGAGATACAGATAGATCGTTTTCTTCCTCAGTAATAATTTAATGAAGATTTATTCAAGTCCATGTATGCAAAGACTAAAGTCTGCCGGGAAGATCTAAAGTGAATAATTCGTATTACGGATACAAAAAAAAACAAATCATAGAAATTTACACAGTTATATACCCAAAGCTCTCCAGTCGTATCTTCTGATTACAAACTCATTTCAGTGTTGAATGAATTGCCGATAAATTTCCCTTGTCTAGGTGTTTGTTTCAGCTCTAAAGATCCATCTATTTGTGCTTCTGAAGTAACGGAAGTTATTCTATCATCCATGGCTGCATATATTCCTTTTTCAATGAAAGGAACTTCTAACGGCAAACCTTGGTTCAACAAAAATTGCGAGCAAGTTGTCGCCTCCAAAAATCTCGCCTACCGGCAGTGGCGCAAAATTCCCAGTGTCGAAAATCGAACTAGGTCAAGATCCTTCTGGTCGGTAGCTAAAGCTCTTAATCAAAACTTGACAAAATTCACAATTACACTACTGACACGAGCGGATGGTGGATGGTTCAATTGCAAAAACAGCCATAGCACATCTACTAGCTGAACAACTTGCGTCCCATTCCACAGTCGATTTTCTGGAAAAGGTACCCACCATTATTCCCACACTAGAATCATCCAGGCTTCTGGTCCTGATGAAGTGTCCATCATCGTACTTAAAAAGTGCGCAAATGAACTCGCAGCAGCAGACTTTTCAACCTGTCTTTCAAGTAAGGGATTTTTCCTTCTGATTAGAAGATTGCTCGCGATCAGCATATTCCCAAAAAAGGCAAGAAATATCTTTCAAATAACTATAGATCAGTCGCTCAGACGAAGTTCAAGGTCAACAGGCGACCTTCTATCGTATGTCGCCCATATGTGGAATAAAGCAATCGAGTGGCGTGATAGCTCTTCAGCTTCCTGAAAGAACATTCCCTGCAAGCGGTCGTCGACGGATATCTCTCGAATACATCTACCATCAACGCTGGTGTTCCCCAGGGATCTATATTGTCTCCAACCCTATTTCTATTGGTAATGAATGACTATTTGGAGAAGAACAAGAATCCAATATATTCCTTTGCTGACGACAGCACACTTGTTTCGTTGTTCCATTTGGATTCCAGGACATTGGTTAGTCATTATTTTAATAATTAAATTATGTGTGTCATGTGAAAATAAGACTTTCTGATGTGGGTAAAACACCATTTTGTAATATTAGGAAAACTGTTATTCATGTTATTGAAACAAACATTTCAATTTGAATTTTAAAACTAATCTAATGTGAAGGATGTATTTGATGTATTTGATTGTTAATATCAGGCTTGAATTTACTCAAAAACAGCCGTAAGTCACTGCGTTCGGTAATCTGCAACCGATTTCTCTTTTTAGTTAACAACGTTGCCACAGCACTAAATCCACGTTCACACAAATACAGTGATGGAAATGCTATAAAAAATCGTTGCACCATGGACCACAATCTAGGGTACAATTGCGGGATTGGATTTGTAGCAAAATTCTTGGTATCCATTTTTGAATTCTATTTTATTTCCTCGTTCGTTATCAGTTCTATGAACTCTCCTTCCAGCTGGGGTGATTCTGCTGTATTGACATTTGAAAAAGGATCCAACACCCAGTCCGGTATTTCCAATTTCAAAATGTCCTGGAATCGTTCTGCAAAATCACTGTGGAGGTTATTCTCCAAATGTTGGCAGTAAACAAGCAGGTCGTCGTTGTTTCAGGATATTGCTGTATGAGAGCAATTGGGCCACAAAAGCAGCAATAATATTTTTTGTTTTGATCAAATTCAAGTCGTCGCCTTGAAGTTGGAGATTGATATCATTAAATAATTTATACAGGTCTGTCAAGTACGCAATATCATTCTTTGAAGTGATGAGGTTGTCGTGCAATTCTTTGTCTTTGTTTTTCAAGAACTCTATTACAGAGTCAAATAGATTGTAAAATCGAGTCAGACAGTTACCTCTTGATAAACAACGCACTTCTGTGTGAAATAGCAATCGGTTGAAATCTTCATCATTAGCAATACAAAGCTGATTAAATAATCTGTCATTTAAAGAGCTGTTTCGGATTTTATTTACTGCTTTTGCAGTGATTGAGAAGGCGCTCACTCAAATTTTTCGTAACCAAATGTTGCCTATGAATGACGCAATATATAGCGAGCACATCTGGAATTCCATTTTTCAAGTACGCTATGAAGCCTTTTTGACGTCCTGTCATAGCCGGAGCGCCATCCGTAGCAGCTGATATAATATTCTTCAGTGGAATTTCTTTCTCATCACAAAATTTGTCCAGTGTATTATATATGGTTTCTCCTTTTGTATCCGTCTCTAAATTTCTGGCAAATAGTAGTTCTTGATATATTTTCTCATTTTTAAAAACCTCAGGTACGACAACAACAATGCTTCATTGGTTGGTAAAGTGGACTCATCTAACTGAATTGAGAATTTAGAAGTCTTCAGATGATTGCACAATGACTCTTCAATGTTTTCAGCCATCTCATCAATTCGTTTTTGCACGGAACTATTGCTCAAAGGAATTTTTCGGATAATATCTGCCGCTGGTTCATGGAGCACAGTAGTTATTACTTCTTTTATTGCCGGTAAAATTAAATCCTCTCCAATAGTTTAAGGTTTACCTGTTTGAGCAATTAGCAAGGAGATATTGTAGGAAGCTTGGAGTCCGTCGTCGTCATGCTTAGAAACCGCTGAAAAAAGTTTTGACACAGTTGGCTGAGCTGAGTATTTCTTTTCCAGTTCTTGAAAATAAGTCACACTTTTGTCTTTTTTATCTGAATGCATTTTTTTCAAATGATCTTGTAGCCTTGAGGGTTTCATCACTTCATTCGAAAATGTTTTTTGACAAAGAAGGCACATAGGCGAAGATGGATTTGTGGGATTTTCAATAAATTCATATTTTATATATTCTGCGCTATACTGCCGATTCTTCTTTTTTGCTTCAGACATAATTTTGTCTTCAAAAATACCGAAGTAAAGAATTGAGTTTTAAAAACTTGCTAATGACACCACTCACACTATTCACCACCGCACGTACATGACTTTACCTAGCTAGTCGCTAACTAAATTCACTTGTTTTCGCAATATCGTCGAATGACATTACTGGCTGGATGGCGCGCGCGCTTTAATATGAGGCAGCGGGCGGCCCTAGTACTTTCGAGAATGGAGAATAGAAACTTCTCGCTTAACATTGAAGCTTACCGCCGTCTATTGTATAGTTTGACAACTATCGGACAGGAAATAGTTACTGCTAGTCCCCTAGATGGCGTTACACGAAGAAAAGCGCGTTAAGCGTAAAGGAGCGGTAAAGTTTGTGTTGAAAGCAAAAAAAAACATTTTTAAATTAGTCATCGCCCCCCTAAACCGCTTCAACGCCCCTCAATCCTCTCTGTGCCCTTTACTGCCCCCCTATAGGCCTCCACTTTGAGAAAGACTGCTCTATATGAACATTCATGCGCGTTGAAGTGAAATGTTTTTGCCTACGGCCGGCTCCACAGGTTGGCCCTAATGCTAGTCCTACAAAGTATGGATCAAGAAACTTGAATTGGTATCAACGTTTGCAAGTATGTTATAGCGCGCAAGTAGCGTGTTATCCACATTAGTAGCATTGGGGTCATAGTATTTAGACCTCATAGTGCTTGTTTCATGTCTCTGTGTCAATTTTCGTCTCAGCCGTTGTTTCAAAAAATATATAATTGGCCAACTCATACAGCATAATTTAAATCCTGAATATTAACGCTAGTGACATGTGTAATATGACGACGTCAGCTTTTGCTTTTGTTTTTGATAATCTGTTTTGATAATCTTCCTTAAAAATCACAAAAAGCGTTCACCTCAACAATCGGCGGTCACCAGTCAACTAAAATAACACATCAACTTTGGTCAGTCATAGTTTTAAGAGTTGAAACTTGGAGAACCTTTTTAGGTCACCAGTTAAGGAAAAAAGCTGGGAACAAACAAGAACGAGAAACATATAAATGCTTTTAAATACACATACAAATTGAACTTTTTCTGGCGACTTGAATTAGGAATGAAATGCCCCATATTTTTCCATTTCAGTGACAACACAAGGCGTTTTTAAATATTTCAATGCTCCAAAGTAACACCAAACTACACTCAATCTGTTTTAATCTGTTTTTCTGTTAGTCAGCTGTCGCCCCCATACGAACGACAACTCTCAGAAGTTGAGAAACTTGTGCGAGCTAAGGATTAACGATGTCTTACCTTTTAACGTGTGATTTCTAACACGTGATTCCTAACAATAACTCTGTTTATTGTATGAGTTGGAGAATGTCCATATAGGAGGAAACTGCAGTAACGTTAGTTACAATTGAAAGTGGTAAAAAACATAGAAATTTTCAATTGGAGTTTTATTCATTATTTCAAGTAATTTTCACAATTTTGTCGGGGGTAATGTTCATATTCAAATTAAAATATTTTAAAACCGAGACAATATATGCGTTTTCTCTATGGAGCGGAATATTCGAACGCAACACAATGCGACGAAGAAAGAAGAAGAAGAAGAAAGTGAATGTGATGTTGATATGTTTTCTTTCCTTCATAATTTTAAATCATTTCCAATCAAAATATGGAAAATTATTCTATATCAAAATAAAATTAGAATTGCTAATGAAAGTAGGCTATTCTCAAGTATATCCCATTCAAATTACGGACACAGGATGAGAGGGACGTCAAAATTCAGTTTCACTGACTATGATTGTATAGGATTTGATTTGGATAATACACTAGCTCGATACAAAGTAGGAAATATGATAGAAATGGAGTACAGCATAGTTTCAAATTATTTGGTTAAGAAGAAAGGTTACTCAGACAAATTTTTGTTGCAACCTCTAGATCATAATTTCATTATGAAGGGGCTGATAGTGGATGATGAAAATGGAAATCTGATCAGAATATCTCCTGATGGCAAAATTCTTCAAGCAACACATGGAACCAAGTGGTTGAGCGATGAAGAAATTTTGAGATATTACCCAAATCGTCACTGGAAAGCAACCGATTTGTTTGTGGAAGATCCTCTCCAAACATGGAATGGTCCGTACTCTGAGAGAATGAGAACATTATTAGACTACTTTGATATAGTTATAAGTTTAGCATTCGCTAGAGCAGTTGATTCTTTGGACGCTAATGGTGGAAATAAAAAAGTTTATGAAATTTGGCCAGACCTTCTCGATTCTTTAATTTATATGTTTAATAGGGATCATTTCAAGAAGAATATTGGCGAGTACTTTCCTGAAGTCAAGAAGAATCCTGAAAATTATTACTACAAGTGTAGTGAGAATTTGATTAATTGGCTACAGACATTGAAGAATAATGGAAAGCGCTTATTTCTCATCACTGGAGCACATGTAGATTTTGCTTCACTGACAGCATCTAATACGTTAGGTGCTAATTGGAGAGATTATTTTGATATTGTTGTTTGTTACTCCAAGAAACCAGGGTTTTTCACAATGAAAAGGGATTTTATCGGTTTGGATGGTTTGCATGAAACAGGTCCTGTGGCTTTGGAGGATTTACAAGTAGGAGGTATTTACACTCACGGGAACTGGAACGATCTGAAAATGTTCATGAAGAAAGTTTCGTACTTGGAGGATCCTAAAATTCTGTATATAGGCGATAATTTGGTTCAAGATATCTATACTCCAAATGTTCATTCCAAAGTTGATACTGTCGCTGTATGTGAAGAGTTGGAAGCAGAAAGGACTCACGGGTTTGCTGAAAAGTGGCATCCAGATGAACAGTTTTTATGTTCGAGTATATGGGGGTCATATTTTCATTGTAAAGATAAGAATATGATCACTAATTGGTATCACATAATGAAAACTCATTCACGAATGTGTGTTCCAAGTTTAGAATATTTAGCTAGTTTTCCAGTGAATCACACATTTGAAGAGGTTAACTGAATTGTCATGTTGTACATAGAAGTATTTATATAATTGTAGTTTAAGGATATACATTACAAAGATTTATGTGTTATTTTTTTTCACAATTAATTCTGACATAATTCTTCGATATCTACTTATTATAAAAACATATTGCATACAAATTTTGCATGAACAAAACTGAGGTAGTGTTGTGAAAATTAATAAGAGAATGTCTAGAATAAGATTTAAAGAAATACTTTTAAATTGCTAGGAATCTCATGTTAAAAGTTGAAACCTCCTTATTCCTTAGCTTGCACAGGTTTACACTTCTGAAAGTTGTCATTCTTAGGTTGGCGAGAACTGGTTAACGAAAAAACTGATTTTAACAGGGTTGAGTTATCACTTGGCAGAACACATTTTTGGATAAATCCCATATTTTGTAGTAATCTTACATTGATATTTGACTGGATTTTCATCAAGTATCCACCAGTTCCAAACACTAAATGAGGAGTTTTAATTGAAAGGGATATATTTTTAGGAGAAAATAAAATTTGGACAAGAAAGGTTTTAGCTTAATACTTCTCCATCTTTATATAAAAAAATGTGGGAATCTTTTGAAGAAACAAAGAAAGCAAATAATTACAAAATAAACTCTCAACAAAGATATGTGGATCATACAAAAAAGTAATTTCAGACACAAACTGGAAGAGAAAGCCCTCTCAAAACAACTATTTTCATATAAACATTGAATTACAGGAAAAAAAATACTTTTGAAACAACTACTTTCATATGAACATTGAATTATACAAAAAACACTTTATTTTCAGTTTGTACTCAAACATTCCTTATGGAATTGAATCAATCAATCAAATATGCTTTAATGTCAGAAGAAACTGTTCTTATCGACAAAGTCATTGTATAGGTAAAACAAGTTGAAAAAGTAAAAACAAAATGGTATTGATATAGACTAGTAAAATGAATAAGTAGGTACAGCCACATGATGAAAACATGAAAATCAAACCAAATGAGGAGACAAGCGTATTTTAATTGCAACAAAAATGTTTACCACTAAAAAATTCCTGCATATTGAAGAATGGATGAGTGAATAGAAGTTCTTTATCATGTTTTTCAAACAATCCTAATGATTCAATATCCCTTAAGCTTAGTGGTGAGCAATTATAAATTTTTAGTCCATCATAAATGAGATATTCCTTAACAAGATTGTTTTTTTTGGTAGAGGTTGAAGTAATCTCAATTTTTCTGATGATTGCGTGTTATGACATGAGGGCACTAATATATTTCTTACAATTCTTGTGTATTAGGCAAGTGGTTTCTAAAATAAAGATTGAAATAACTGTGAGGATTCTATTATTTTTTGAAAAGTCCCTGCACAAATCACTCATTTTTACTTAATAGAGCTCTTTTAGCACTACTTGTACCATATGTAAGAGTTGTTTGTTGCACACTCCCCAGAAGGCTCTGCCATAGACTAGGTGGGCTTCAATAAGAGTAAAATAAGTTGGTTCAGCAGCTGTAAAACCCAAATCATGTGATAATATCTTAATGGCTTAGCATCCAGATAACAATTTTTTTCGTGACATGGTCGTTAAATTTTAATTTATTATCAATGTGAAATCCTAGAAATCGGGCAGAGGAAACATTTTCAATGTTGTGCCTAAGCTCAGGGCAGAAAGCTCATAGTGGAATGGTAATATATTAGACTTAGTAGCACTGAAGACAATCCAGCACGTCACACCAGGTTTTGATTTTTTCAATGTCTACTTGTACTTGTGATGTAATAAGTGCTCATCATCATTATGCCAAAATATGGTGTGGTATCATCGGCAAACAATGTATACTTTCCTGATCCCAGATATATTAAGTTTTGTGAAGTCATTTATATAAAGTAGGAACAGTGTGGGGCCAATCACTGAACTCTGTGGCACACTGCTTTGAGTTGCCTCTGTTCGAGAGAGATGATTAGATTTGAACCTTTGCTGGCTGATTCCTATAAAACCATAGTATTCGAGTTTGCCTAGCAGAATTCCGTGACTTACACCACAGCTTACTTAAAGCTGTGCTTACACAGTCAAATTCCTTGGATAAGTCACAGAACACTCACTGCTATGTCTGCCTCTTCTTCATTAATTTCATTGTAAACTTTTTTGAGAAAGAAAAAGGCAATTGGTGTGTCATTGGTGCTCTTTTGCATAATTGCTACACGATATAGTTTATGAAAGAGGTAAAATTTCGCTTACATGGAACAATGCCATTCAATGGCGGACATCGATGTTTCCGAATAAGACACTTATTTTATTTCTTTTTTGGCACCAATCTGCATAACATTTCACAAGATGAAGCACTCAATCTGTATACAAAAAATGTGGGAATCTTCCAAAGAAAGGAAGAAAGCAAATGAAAATTGAAACTTTCTATGTTTTCAGTGTTACTATCTACAATCGGGTTTGAAGGCCACAGTAGTTTGGAACTGCGTCCTAAGGTTTCGCCAGCACGAGTGTCTGGCTTCTTCAGATGTTTATTCATCTTGATCAGGGGTCTCCAAACTACGGCCCGCGGGCCAAATCCGGCCCGCCAGTGTCATCAATCCGGCCCGCGACAGCCAATGATTTACTGTCATCAATTTTATTACTGCCATCTCGAGGTGATCGGAATACACTAGCTAGAACCAGAACTTTCTCGAACCAACGCAGTAATTCCAAATATTTAATTACGCCTAATGCCACCTAGCGGGTAGCTGAAAAAGATAGTACATAGTACCACTACTCGCCACTAGATGTCGTTGTCACAATACACAATAATAATTGAAATGCAAAAAAAGCGTAAGTTTGCTTAGGTCACGCACTATTGCTTTTATTTCTTAGATAAATGTTGTCAAAATATTCTGATGAATTGAAAAAAATTCAGAGAAAACTTTTCTATTCTGCACTATTGTGCTGTTAAATTAAAAAATGTAGTATTTCTGAAATGTAAACCTAGTAATAGATGAGTTTACATATTTCAATTAGCTATAGCTAATAGCGCGCCACCAATTTTGTGAATTTATATTTTGATTTTCAGTAGAATATTAAATGGGACAAACCCGTCATCAATAAATGATTTGATTGTTATAAATGATATGCAATATCGTGTTATGAACAGTTATTACAGTTATTAGATATAGATGTTATGTTTAGCATATTTCGGTACATATTTTGTCACAATTATATCTACGATAGAGTACATTTTAGAAACACTGTCCTCAGTGTTTAACGGAAAAAATTCGCGTTCCCAATCAAATGCTCCAAGTTCCCTGCGGATTGAGACAAAGTCAGCTTTGTTAAAGTTATAAGAAGGCTTTTCTTGACATATAGGGCTGATTGAAGCAGGTAAATGTAATAATTTTATATCGAATTCTATTGTGTAGTGTGTAGTGTCTCTCATCCTCAGGGACCAGTGGCGTAAGGGAGAAAGTCAGATTATTAATTGCAAAATTATTATTTAGAACTAAATCTAGAGTATTATTGGACGAATTTACATAGGAACTGATTTGAGAAAGACCGCAATAACATATTGATTCAATGAAAATATTAGAATTCACATCAGTAAAGTTCATTGGATACACTTTTTGTTCACGTTGTCTGGATGCCATGTATGATATTCGAAAGATTAAAATCCCCACAAATGACGAAGGTGTCGTTGGCGTTATTATTGACAATGTCAGCAAGCTTAGCGCAGAAAATAGTTAGTGATTTGGAGAAGTTAGGACCTGGAGGAATATAAACACTGCACAGGTTCAATTTACTAGTATTAGCTTTTGTAGGATTTACGGTGATTTACCGTAAGTATATGAATACTATGCTGCACATTCCAGAAAATAATGCTACAATATTTTATTAATCTATGTGGTCTTTAAGTACATGCAAAAAATTAATATGTCTAAATTAAACCTATTCATCTTACTAGTCATATGAAAAGTAATATTTTATTTGGATATTGTTAGAGCAATGGATATTTGTTGTCAGAGCTCACGAGTTGAATTTTAAATTTGGAAATTTGTCTACGCCACAGAAGGGATCTTGGAACAAATCAAGTTGTGGGATCCTTGAACTTGAGGTGCCTCAGAGATCGATCCTAGTTCTTTTTTGATCGTTGATATTCAATTTAGTTTCAATTTGAAGGCATTACTATTATTAGCATATGTACTTAGATATAAAATTGTATCATTTCAGTCCAATGACGTAGTTAATGTCAATCTAAAAAGAAATGACGAGCTAGAGCTCATCAAATTTGTAAGAGGCCTAAGTACAACCTTAGAATTAATTCTAGCAAAACCAAATTACTAGTCTGCGGCACTATTTGTAGCCTAGTAGAAAGATATTAGGTTGCTTCAAAAGTTTTGTCCGTTTTTATGAGTCTACTCTGAACTGTAATACATATTTCAGGAAACACTTATTGAATTAGATCGAAATAAGCGCCATTTGAATCAGTGCACTTTACAACTTAACACAAGTCGAATAATTTCGCCAGTATGAAAATTGTGTGCTGGGGATTCGATGAAGTCGACGAAGACCGCTTTTGCTTGGTCCTGATTGGTGAAGGTTCTACCGGTGACAAAGTTATCGAAGTGTTCAAAAAGACGTTAGTTCGTTGGCGAGAGGTCTGGGGAGTATGGCGGATGAGGCAGAACTTCGACGCCCAATTCGTTTAACTTTCGAACCGTGATTTGTGAAACGTGCGGAAAGGCGTTGTCGTGGAGCAGGATTGGAACTCTTCTGTTGACCGGTGCCGGTTGCTACTGACGCAATTTTCGGTACATTTCGTCGATTTTCTCACAATTGAATTGGACTCTGTTGTGATGGTTTGGCCCAGTTGCAGAAACTTAGTGTGAATCACATCAGCCGCTGACCATCATACGGCAACCAAGGTCTTCTTTGGTTCTCGCGTTTGGAAAGAGGTTCCAAATATTTTAACATAGACCCCTTCAAAATTTTGCCGATACCGGTGGACCCCCTGCAGCTATATTTCTATCATATTCCCAAAACACGACAAAAAAATGTGAATGGAAATTTTCCTTGCGGCTGCGTTCCAATCACGAATTAACAGTTTTCGAAT